GCTCACGGCGAAGCAGCTCAGACTTGAGTTGTTAAAAGCCCATGGAAGAAAAACTCGATAAGGGAGTGAAAATTGCAAAAACTATAAAACCAATACGATCGGCTAAAACTCACCACAAAGTAGAGCCGCTGAGCTTCCTCAAAAATCGAGCGCACATCCACTAGCCCGGCTCTATCAACCCCAGAGGAACCACTCCCGATTGATATACGGTCACCCGATATATGCGGCCCCTTGCTTTGGACATCCCTCGAAGTGCCTTCGATGGGAGAAGAAGTCAGCGGCAGAGAACCTTCGCTCCTCGAGGTACCTTCGACGAGAAAAGATGATGGCAGTGGAGGAGAGACCATTTTTCTAAGTCCAGAGATCTTGGGCGCTACAGGCCCGACTGATACATCCTCTCTGAGCCCCCATCCTGGACTTGTCTTGCTACAAGCATCGTCGCCCCGCGAAGGCCCCTTTTGCTTGATATTGTCATTCTTCAGTCCCGAAGCTGACGATCCTTCTCCGACAGGGCATGATCTCGCCTCGAAAAACTTAATGTTGCCTACGATAACGGGGTCAATACGCATAAAATGAAAGTGCCTTTCAAAAGGGGAGAAAATCACATAGCACATACCGTGGTGTTTTTCCTCCCACCCTTAGATAAGTCTCGCCACCTACGCCAATCATAGATCGAGTGGGCCGCTAACTTACAAGCCCAATCCGTCAGGTCGGGGACCTCGTATGGCATCCATGGAATTGCTGTAGAAAGGGAAAGAAAGGCATATTTATGGAGCCTGCCTCCGTTATAAACAAAACAACAAAGGCAAAAGTGTACCACTTACATGTAAAATTCCATTCCTCGGGAAAAGGCAGAAACTCTGCGGGGATAATGTCAACAGTCTGTACTCGGACGAATCGTCTCATCCATCCCCGATCCCATCTTTTTCATCGTCGATAGCGAATGGCCTGGTGGATCGGCATCGTAGGGTTAGCAGGCCTCGGTGGTAAAAAGGTCGGTACAACCTGATAAGATGGCTAAGGGTGAACTTGAGCCCTGCTTCCTCCGTAAAGAATCACATCATCAATATTATCCTCCAAAATGAAGGATGAACCTACGCCAAGGTAGCCCGATACTTTTGACAGAAGTCGAACACAACTCAATCAAGGGGACCCAGAGTAAAAGAGTACGTGTATACATTCAAAAACCCCTCGGCGTGATCCGTAATGCTCTCCTCCAGGGAAGGTACCTACATAACTACCTTTTCCCCCCAGCCACAATCTTTCCTCACTGACTCAGGGTGCCCCTTTCCTATTAAAGAAATAAACTTCAGGCATACTCCCAATGACCCTGAATGTTGGGGGGTTGTCCTGACGAAAAATCCCCTCTTGAAACAAAATGTCCCGAGGTTGGCTCGCCCTGACACCAGCGGCAAACTATCAACCAGGAGGGAACCAGAGGCGGAACTTCCTCCTCCATGCTGAGAGAATCCCGGCATAGCATCCATAACTATGGTAAAATCAGAGAATTTGAGCGAGGGCTTCAAAGTCAAAGTGGTGAAAGTCCTAACACAGGAAAGAAGAATTCTATGGAGGGGGGTAGCTATTCAGGATAGCGGAATCCTCAAAGGAAGGAAGACAAACCTATATAGAAAGCGGTAAATGTCCGCCTGCCTCAAAGGCCAATTAAAAATACTGACTAAGCCTTTATTGATTTGGGAAGAAATACCAGCGGGATCGCCTCGGTTGTTTCATAACCATGTCATACAATTGATGCTGTCATACGACGTTTTGGGATCAAAGACCCCCACATCGACCTAGCCTCGAGATGGTACCCGATCTCGAGGACCTCTGTCAAAAAAGAAGAAAGGCTCTAAAGAGCCATTAATACCATTACAAGCCTCGAGATGGTACCCGATCTCGAGGACCTCCGCCAAAAAAGAAGAAAGGCTCTAAAGAGCCATTAATACCATTACAAGCCTCGAGATTGTACCCGATATCAAGAACCTCCGCCAAAAAAGAAGAAAGGCTCTAAAGAGCCATTAATACCATTACAAGCCTCGAGATTGTACCCGATATCAAGAACCTCCGCCAAAAAAGAAGAAAGGCTCTAAAGAGCCAATAATACCATTACAAGCCTCGAGATGGTACCCGATCTCGAGGACATCCGCCAAAAAAGAAGAAAGGTTCTAAGGAGCCATCAATATCATTACAAAGCCTCGAGATGGTACCCGATCTCGAGGACCCCCGTCAAAAAGAAGATATGCTCTAAGAAGCCATTAATATCACTATGAGTCTCGAGATGGTGTCCGATCTCGAGGACCCCTGTCAAAACGGAAGATAAGCTCTAAAAGAGCTACTCATATATAAGCCCAGCCTCGAGGTAGTATCCTGCCTTGAGGATTTCTGCTATTGTGAATGCGGGTCATTCACTCAATTCCTTGGTCCTCGAGATACTTGAGCTCGAGCCAGTTCACACTCAAGAATTACTGATGAAGCCTTAGGGCTACCTCCACTCTAAGTTCAAATTAAGTTTTTTAGGCCACTGAACTTAGGCTAAATCTCACTCAGTATTGTTTGTGAAAGTCCTGGGGCTATCTTTATTCTCAAGCGTTTGAGCAAATTCTCCCTCGAAGACTACCAACGGGATCTAAATGGAGTTAAGTTTGTTCAAAAAATCGAGGCCCCATTCTCACTGGATTCAAAGTCGTCAGTTTTGGCAGTCTAAGTCTGTAACGGGTAAACCCGGACTTGGTCTGAGAGACGGCAAAGGGTTTCAAGGAAAATCATATTGACCGATCAAGAATCGAGGGAATACCTATGCCCGGGTCCGGTATTCGGGCCAATCGGTAGAGTCACATGCTCAAATTCTTCACAAATGCAAATAAAAGGTAATCCAGCATAAATCAGAGACAAATCAAAGAAACATCTTTATATTAATAAACCATGATTACAAAACCCCACGAGGGGTCCTTTCACATGATTACAAAAGCCTACGAAGGGTCTTTACACAAAAACAAAGAAGAAAAAATAATAATAATAATAACTAAGAGTCTAATCTATTCTCGGGGGTGCATCCTCGGCGGCAGTATCTTCGAGAACTATCTCCTCGAGGGCCTCATCTCGATCTTCCAAACGGCATCTTCAAGGATGAAGATGAAGTAGAAAACGATAAAGAAGAAGCAGAAAAATATGAAGAAGAAGTAGAAAAAGATAAGGAAGAAGCAGAAAAAGATGAAGAAACGGAGAGGGATGAAGAAGTGGCTGGGTGAAAAATCTGACGAGTATGGATCTCGCCAGCACTACTATTGTGAAGCCATTTCTTGAGACGTTGCACCGGTGCGGGATGCAACAATTAGTAGATGGTACCACCTCACTCCACGGAAAGCAAAAGGAGCGAGGCGCCGCACCGAGTAGTTAAGAGAGATGAGTAGAAGTCCATAGTCCACATATCCTTTAACACGAAAATAATTTCAGATTTCTCTTTCATTATCTTGGTCCAACAACAACAACAACAATAAAAAATCAGTACAATCCCGCTCAATAGAGGAAAGCTCTGGGAAAGGGCCATGGCGTAACTGATGAGGACACTGCCACGTGACCTTAAGGCCACAGGCTTCAAACATGAGAAACAGCATTGGATGAGGACGAAGAGGAGAAGAGAGTAAAAAAGGCTGTTGGAGAACGATTGAATGAAGCTTTGGTTCCAGAAAGGTTTCCATTTATAGAAAAGGTGGCAGCGCAACCGACGACGCAATCAATGCCTTTGGGAAATGTATTGACAAGCGCAATTAATGCATGTTGGGAGACGGATCGGCGGTGATATTATCGCCTTGAGAAAGTAAACCAACACTACAATAAATGTTCCAAGAAAAGACGTGTCGACGTGATGTCTCAGTTATTGCAAAAGCTGATGTCATAAGCATGACATCATCATAAAAGGCTCGAGGAGTTCAGTGTCACAATCGTTTCTTATCATTTTAATCTAAGAAATGCGGGGACTATCTGTATATAGTAAAATCGGAGGGCTCGATTTTATGATCGATAGGGCATCTCGTAGAGACCACCCCCGGAAGGCTCGAAGTTTAGCTCGGAGTTTTCCCTCGAGGGTTCTCAATGGTTGACCTCGAGGCAGTACAAAGCAAAGGCTATGCTGGACAGATGGGAAGTTCCCAAAGCACGTGATTAAAGCTGATCTAGGTCTATTAGGCTAGCATGAGCCCGTACCGTGGCATTAAATGGTTGTACCAGCCATATATCTTTGTAATAAATGTATTTGTACTATGTTGGAATTCCCCCCACATATATAAAGGAGATCCTTGTCATTTTGTAGACACATCTAATACTCAATACAACATTCAATACAAGAACATTTTCTACTCTCTAACACATTCTCTCTTGATTCTATTATTTACAATTATTGCTTATATTCATTGTGTTTCATTAATTGTTTTTCATTTATTGCTCGTTATTGATCATAAAGAGCTCAGATCAAAGCACTTAGAATTGTTAGCCTTCATCGGCCGGTCATAGCCTAACGTTTCGCTCGACCTCGAGGCCCGTATCACCTGGCTCGAGGTCCCGATTCTCAGCCTCTCGGTTTGCTTAAACACACTACATTCTAGCTCTTATCTTATTTTCTAGTCTCACACTTAACATCTATTGCCTAACAACTAGCATAAAAATAAATCACGTATTTTTAGAACCACAAAATTAAATCTAATTGTTATTATCATTTTCACGGTAAACACCTTTACAATTTTAAATTTAAGAAAATGACTTTTTTAGATCTCTTATGTGTAAAAAATAGATCTCTTATGTGTAAAAATAAATCTCTCATCTATATAAAAAAAAAAAGATAGGGTCATAAAAGTAAAAACTAGTAGTTTGTAAAAAGTCAAAAAAACCAATTGAGTTTAGCCCGTGTGTCATTATCCTTTTACTTTTTTCATTTTATTTTTTAGTATAACGTTCATATTTTTAACTTCTTTATTTTAAAATCTAAAATTTCTAACAGTAACGTTCGCGATTCACCTCCATCTACGGTGGCTGAAATTCCGCGGCGTCGGACAACTCTGCGGTGGCGCGAGCTTTCTTCCTTAGGTCATTATTTTTCTCTCTTTTTAATTTATTTTCTGTATGTGTTGATTGAATTTCCGAATTTTTAGTCCGACATTTTGATGTTTTATGTGTATTAGATAATGCATCTATTTAGTGAAATTTTCAGAAATATTTCGTTGGTTTTTCAGTCAAATGACGTCTGATGTAACTCTCTTCATGACGACTATCACAGCATAAGGATTATAAGTCTCAATTTGAAATCTGAATTGATAATGTGTGATCGTTTCAGTTTGTTGCTTTCTCATTTATTTACGTGATAATGGCCTACCTAATGAAAATTATACTCTAATAAATTATTGGTACTATGGATCTTCTCTCCTGATAATTATTTTCCATAATTTGTCGGTATTGTGGTATAGCTTATCATATAATAAAACGAGGAATTATTAGATGACCCAAAAAAATTAAAAAAAAAATGGCAGATATAAAATAGGTGGTTCTGGTCAGGAACGGACCTATAGCTTTAGGAACGGGTTCAATTGAACCTGCTATATAAAATTTAATTTCATTTAATGACGGTGGTGTTCGGGACAACTTGGTAGCTCAGGTACCAGTTAGCTCTGTCCACCAAGACTTAGGTTGATGGGAAGAAATCACCAAGTGTTTCTTGCCTCATGGAGTTGAGTACTTTGAAAGTTTGAATCCATTAAGTTCAAATCCTGGATTCGCCCGGTACTTGTGGAAGTTTAGAAAGGATATGTTCTTGGAGTATTCAAGTTGTACTCACTATGACCAACTTATGAAACGAATAATATCTGTGTTTATAGAATCCTAGGAAAAATCAACAAAAGTGAACAATAAAAAAGAATCTGGATGGAATTGCTAAGGTTATGATTTGCTTGCCTATATGAGAAAGCTTTGACTGGATTAAAAGCTTCCAGTAATGTGCGTGAAATGTCGGCTTCACTAGGTGTTTTTGTTGTCTCATTATGTGTTTAAACGTAGGATATATGTTGTTTTTTGGTGCACATGCCATGTAATGATTGTTCGATAGAATACTATTATAGTTCTATCATTCTCCATTTTGTATTAAATTCAAATATCATGTACCATTGTGATGGCTTGTATATAAATTTTTTGAAGATGTGGTCCTGCTTTTGGGTGGGGAGGGGGGGATTGACTTCTGTCTTTAGGTTGATTGAAAATATACTTCCGTACGAGCTGCAGGCTAGACTTAAGCAGGAAGGAATGTGTAATAGAAGAGAATGCTACTCCCAAAATATTTTGTTTTTTCTTGAACTGGTGTTTTGGATGTAAACTAAAAGGATCTTACTGTTGAAGTATTTGAACTCTGTGGTCCTGCCTCCTTGGACATTGCTGGGATTGTTAATCTGTAAGACTTTTGTGGGATGGTGTATATCTTGAAAATGATGTTTCTGCTGTTGGAGTTGAGAAAATCATCTGGTGATCTTGAACAATCACCAAAATCAAGATTCATTATTTATGGGAGGGAACCTAATTTTTAACTGCAGAATTGAAAGACGATAAGACATTTATAAGTAGAGACAACAAGGGAGGATAACCTGGTGGAAAAAGGCCCTCCACCTCCAACCATGAGCTCGGGTCTTTGAGTCATTAAGGAAGCAAAGTGGCAATAGCCACCTTTTGACGGGTTTACAATATTTAAAAAAAAAAGTATTCTAGAGCAAGTGCATATCAATCACTTGCAATTTTTAACTTAGTGCAGATAAAACTGTAGTTCTTCAGCTGATCTTTTTTTAAAAGCTTATTTGAGAATTAATCTCTGCAATGATTCCAAATGTTGTTTCTCTTGATTGTTCAGATTACTTCAAGAGTAGAACTAGCACCGGTGGTCCTGTATTTGTATTAGGCATTTTCCAATCAATATGACTTGTTTACTCAACTACAGCCCAGATAACTCACTTATCTTGTCATGTTGCCTCCAGCAGATTTGTTTCAGGAGAAGCCAATGGCATGAGACATCACTGATGCTGAAATGCTAGTTTAACGTATCGTTTGGGATGTACTAAATAAATAGCATATATAAAAGAGGTGGTCCTGATATTTGGGGAAGCTTAGAGAGGTATGTTCTTGGACTGATACAAGTTTTACCCACCATGACCAACATCCGCACGGAATAATATCCATTTTTATAGAATCCCAGGGCAAAATCAACATAAATAAACATTATAAAGATTTTATGGATAGATGTGCAAAGGTATTGACTTGCTGACCAATACGAGAATGGATAAAAAACTTCCAGTAATGAGTGTGAAAGATTGGCTTCTCTGTTTTGTATTTGTTTTTATGCATTTGAATGTGGGGTATTGCTGTTTTTATGTGGTGCATATTACATGTGACGAATTGTCTGATTGAATTGTATTGATTGTGTGATAAGATTTTATTACAGGTCCTTTCATTTTGTATTTCATAAAATTCAAAGGCCATCTGTTATTATGATGGCTTTATATAAATACTTTCTAAGATGTGGTCCTGCTGTGGGGGTCAAGATTATTTTCCGCTTTGAGGTTGACTCAAAATATGTTTCCGTACAAACTGCAGGCTACACTTGAGGGGGAATCGTTATGTAATAGAAGAATATTACTCCTAGAATAATTTGTTTTTTCTGAACTGGTTTTTTGGGTGTAAACTAAAAGAATCTTACGGTTGAACTGAAATTTTTCGGATGCAGTGGTCCTGCCTCCTTGAACAAGTTGCGATGTTCATATTTCAGGCTATTCTGGGTTAAGGTTGTTGCCATGTGACCAGGAGGTCACGGGTTCGAGCCATGGAAACAGCCTCCTGCAAAAATGCAGGGTAAGGTTGCGTACAATAGACCCTTATGGTCCGTCCCTTCCCCGAACCCCGCGCATAGCGGGAGCTTAGTGTTTCGGGTTGCCCTTTAATATGTGTGCTGATAGAGTTAATGTGAACATCTATCGTGGTTGAAGAATCAGAAAAATGTAGCTTCATTTTTATGTGGTGTTTTTATGTGGTGCATATTACATGTGACGAATTATCTGATTGAATTGTATTGATTGTGTGATAAGATTTTATTACAGGTCCTTTCATTTTGTATTTCATAAAATTCAAAGGCCATCTGTTATTATGATGGCTTTATATAAATACTTTCTAAGATGTGGTCCTGCTGTGGGGGTCAAGATTATTTTCCGCTTTGAGGTTGACTCAAAATATGTTTCCGTACAAACTGCAGGCTACACTTGAGGGGGAATCGTTATGTAATAGAAGAATATTACTCCTAGAATAATTTGTTTTTTCTGAACTGGTTTTTTGGGTGTAAACTAAAAGAATCTTACGGTTGAACTGAAATTTTTCGGATGCAGTGGTCCTGCCTCCTTGAACAAGTTGCGATGTTCATATTTCAGGCTATTCTGGGTTAAGGTTGTTGCCATGTGACCAGGAGGTCACGGGTTCGAGCCATGGAAACAGCCTCCTGCAAAAATGCAGGGTAAGGTTGCGTACAATAGACCCTTATGGTCCGTCCCTTCCCCGAACCCCGCGCATAGCGGGAGCTTAGTGTTTCGGGTTGCCCTTTAATATGTGTGCTGATAGAGTTAATGTGAACATCTATCGTGGTTGAAGAATCAGAAAAATGTAGCTTCATTGTCTATGGGAAGCCACTGTAATTCTTAACCACATTGAGACATTGAGACATCGCGACATATTTTGTAGAGCCAAGTGCATATGAATCACTTGCAAGATTTCAGTTAGTGCAGATAAAATGCAGTGCGCTAGCTCATATTTTCTTCATTTACTAAGTTGAGCATTAACCTTTGCAACATCAACAAATTTTGCTTCTTGATTGTCAAATTACTCCAAGAGTACTATTCTGTGGTCATTTATTTGGTTGAGACCTTGCCCTAGATATGGATTAGGTACTGCACAACAACTGAAGCAATTCACTTATCATTGCTTGTCACGCCAACTTCCTATACTTTTGATAAATTTTGGTAAAGCCCACTTGAAGAGTGTTTACACCCTAAAATTAGGTGCAGAATAGGCCGGGCATTTCACCTTGCTTAGGCAGCGCATTTGTGCAGGGCATTTACATGGACTCAAGTGCTTCTATTTGATGCAGGTGTGGACCTAACCATACTATTTCAGTTTTAATCGATGCACTCTAGGTTAATTGACCAAATCTAGTGTGTAGCCGCACCAGCGCTGAATTCGTTAATATAGGTGCAGCATGAGATTTTGGAGGACGCGCTAGTCAAAGGAACTCATGGGAGTGGTTGCCATCCGTGTTACATTAGCAGGAACTAAGGCATGCTCTTCAATGCCAAGGGGCTTTGGTTTAAAGAGGATAGAACTAAACAATAAATATAGTTGGCAAAACGATGTGTCAATGTTAAGAAAGCGTTATTGATGAATTTGTTAGTCAATAGTATCAGTAGGTTAGAAATTTAGTATAATTAAATTGGTCAACTTAATTAGAAACTTAAAACTCCATAGTTTTCTTTTGAATTAAAAAAAAAACTATAAGATGGTTTAACTTAGTTCACAATTCACATAGTTTTTACTCCATTAATTTCAGTCCATAAAATTATTATATGTGGATATAGTTACTGCTATTATTTTTATATTACATGTGTATTTTTCAATTTTTTCTTCATTGCATTTTGTGCTTAAAGCCCCTGTAGACATTCTGGTTATGCTGTTAGTAGTTTCACAAAAATTGTGACATGCATTTGAGATTCCTTCTTGTGCCCAGTAGTACAAACAGAAGGCATAACAAACTTGTTGGACATAACCTGGTGAGAATCAACTAAATCAAGATGAGTAACAAGAGATATCTTGTATTAATTAGTGCAAACACTTAATATCTTTACAGTAAACTAATTTGTTATCTGGTTTACTAACAGGGATTTCCCCCTTTTCCTTCTCCATTAATGTTGTTTTACGTGAAATAACTGTAAGCTTGGGAAGAAATTTCACAGGGACATAGTAATTAACCAATGTAAAGCATCTAATTTAGAAGACATCATATCGAAAAGCTGAGATCATTCACCGGAGAAAGAGAACCTTTGAAAATAAAGGAAGTACAACAACAACAAAAAACCCAGTATATTCCCATAAGTGGGGTCTCGGGAGGGTAGTGCGTTCGCAGAGCTTACCCCTACCTAGGGAAGGTAGAGAAGCTGTTTCCAAAAGGAAGTATTTGACTGAAAATTATAATGAGTCAAGGATGTTAATCTATGATGTGAAGTCAAGTATCATACAAAAAACAGTTAGGAGGTGTTAAATAACTTTTCTTACTTGGCATTTACTCCCTTGCCAAAAGAGTTTGCAGATGTGAATTCATTCTCCCTTATCTTTCTGCAGTTATAACCTAAGATATAGCTGTCTCTACAAACAAAATAAAATGTAACGGAGTCTAAGGGTTAAAATAAAAGATTTTGAGTGTTGGGAATATTCTTAGAGTCCATTCATGGTTCAGCTATTCAAGATCTTTTTACTTGCTACTAGTGTTTGGAATTTACATTAGTTTCCTATATAATCTTAACTGCATTAGAATTGCATTTTTAAGAAGGAGCAACATATGTGACTAGTTCTCTTTTATTAGAAAATTTAGCTATGTAAAGATCTAATTGTTTGCGTTCCTGCAATGAAGCTATAAAGAGCAAGCTTCGAGCGTTCCTGCAGTGAAGCTATAAAGAGCCAGCTTCCAACATTGTCATATATTAGGTATGTGTAATGATATTTCCTAAGCTTTATGCTCAATTTTTTATGCTTGAGGATAAATACTTCACTAAGTTAATGATTATCTGACTGGAAACAAATTTGTAAAAAAAAGTGATCCTAGGCTTTTCTCCCTTCTATGTTATTCTTCTCTTCTCACTGTAATGGAACAGGACTCATAATTATATGTGTTTCATTGGTGACCTTGAGAGAGTTCCCTTATGCTTTGCAGCTTTCTTGCGGCGTTCTAGGATTTCTTTCTGTGCACTACTGCTGCTGCTGCTGCTTCTGAATTCTCATCCCCTGCGGACAGCCTTTTTCATGGAGCAAAGTACTTTGTCATTGTAAAATTAACGTGGAGCTTGAAGATTTCCTTGTGGAAAAATGAAGGTGTCTATGTTTAAACAATGTGATAGAAGCACAGATTATACCAAAGAACGGCAAATTTACATGAAAGCTATATTCACATACGTAAATAGACAGTGAGAGGAGAAATGCTGGAAAATCCAAAATAAAGGATGAAATATTAACACTAGCTATAACAAGGAAGACATGGCATGAATTGAAGACCCCATGACGAAGATGATATGATCAAAGAATTTCCTCTCAGGAGCTAAAGCACCTAGCCGGCGGATATACAAAGTTTTCCTTCAAAGAGGATGGAATATTGTGAAATAGGGTCAGCGGGAGCACTGAATCTGTGCTATTAAAACTGCCATATGGTAAAATGTTGGAATGCTTCGTTTATTCCATACAATGTATACATTTGCTAAACTATATTAATCAAAACAAGAACTGAAATGAATAAACAAATAAAAGAAAGAAAATGATTAGTGGCTAAACTTCTTTTGGAATGTCCTGCAGAAGATGGGATTTCAAGACTTGTGGTCAAAGTGGATAACATTTAGCATCTCCGACGTGGGCTATTCAATTCTGGTGAATGGTGCACTTGTGGGATTTTTTCTCAGAAGAGAGATCTAAGCCAAGGAAACCCAGTGTCTCCATTCTTGTTCATCATAGCAATGGTAGGGCTATGGAAACTTCTCAAGAAGGCACTGCAAAGAGACAGTGGGTAAGAGGGCAGTATGCGCAAGGGAAAGGGAGGCGACCAGACATGAATCTCCTCAAATTTTGTAGGCCTATAAAAATGACCTAATAAACAATAATCATCGATTCGCCATTACCGTTCGTTTTATGCCATCAAATAGGAATTTAGGATGATTCCTAGATTTTCATGAGCTATAGTCCATACCATCCGCATGAATTCGGGCAATCGACCCCGAATCTTTTAAAAATTTGCTAGCCTATTAAAAACGATCTAATAAACAATAGTCATCGTTTTGCTAAGATCGTTCCTCGTTTTTGGCCAAGATCTTGAATAGTTGAACCATAAAACAGAAATTCAGGACGATTACCATATTTTCGTGTGTTATAGTCCACGACCATCTTTATGAATTCGGGCGACCAGCCCTCAATCTCTTAAAATTGTGCGGGCCCATAGAAAATGGCATCACGAACAATAGTCACTACTTCGTCATCACCATTCCTCATTTTTTAATGCATTAGGACCATGAAATAGGAATTCAAGATGATTCCCAGATTTTCGTGTGCTATAGTTCACATCATCTGCAAGAATTCAGGCGACCGACTCCGAATTTACTAAATTTTGCGGGTCCATTAAAAATGACCTAATGAATAATAGTCATAGCTCGCCAATATCGTTCCTCATTTTTTGGCGCTTTAGGGTTATAAAATAGAAATTCAGGACGATTCACATATTTTCGTGTGCTATAATTCACGCCATCTGCATGAATTCAGGCGATCGACCCTGAATCTTCTAAATTTTGCGGCCCCATAATGAACAATAGTCATTGCTTCACCATGATCGTTCCTCAATTTTTGGTGTTTTAAGGCCATAAAATAAGAATTCAGGACGATTCCCAAATTTTCGTGTGCTATAGTCCAAGCCATCTGCATGAATTCGGGCGAGCGGCCCTGAATCTCCTAAAATTTTGCGGGCCCATAAAAATGACCTAATGAACAATATTCATTGCTTTGCCAATGACCGTTCCTCGTGTTTGGCGTTTTAGGGCCATAAAAGAGGAATTCAGAACGATTCCCAGATTTCTGTATGCTAAAGACCATGTAATCTACATGAATTCGGGCGAGCGGCCCTGAATCTTCTAAAAACTTGTAGGCCCGTAGAAAATGACCTAGTTTATCGTTTTATTATGACTGTTCCTCGTTTTTTGGCATTTTAGAGCAAAACAGGAAGTCAAGACAATTTCTAGATATCTGTGTGATATAGTCCATGTCATCTAACGAATTCGGGCGATCGAACCCAAATCTCCTAAAATTTTGCGGTCCATAAAATATGACATAATGAACAATAATCATCGCTTCTCCATGTTTGTTCCTTTTTTTTTGCGTTTTAGGGCCATAAAATAGGAATTCAGGATGATTCCCAGATTTTCGTATGTTATAGTCTACGCCATCTACATTAATTCGGGCGACCGATCTCGAATATCCTAAAATTTTGTGGGGCCATCAAACGAGCTAATGAACAATAATTATTGCTTCTCTATGACCGTTCCTCGATTTTTTATATTTGAGGGCCATAAAATAGGAATTCAGGACGATTACTAGATTTTCGTGTGCTATATCCGCGCCATTTGTATAAATTCAGAAATCGGTCCCGAATCTCCTAAAATTTTGCATTCCCATTAAAAACGGCCTAATGAAAAGTAGTCACCGCTTCTCCATGTGTTACTCTTTTTTGGCGTTTTAGGTTTATAAAACATGTATTTAGGATGATTCCTAAATTTTCATGTGCTTTGCATGAATTTGGACGACCGACTCTGATTCTCCTGAAATTTTGCGGGCCCAACCTAATGAACAATAGTCATCACTTCTCTATGACCATTCCTAATTTTTGGCGTTTTAGGGTTACATAACAGGAATTCAGGACGATTGCTAGAATTTTTGTGTACTATTGTCCACGCCATTTGCATGTATTTGGGCGACCGGTCTCAAATTTTCTAAAATTTTGCAATCCCATAAAAAATGACCTAATGAACAATAGTCATAATTTCTCTGTGACCATTCCTCATTTTTTGGCATTTTAGGGTAATAAAATAGGAATTCAAGATGATTCCCAAATTTTCGTGTGCTATAGTCCATGTCATCTGCATGAATTCGGGTGATCGGCCCCGAATCCCCATAAAATTTTGTGGGCCCATTAAAAATGACCTAACGAGCAATAGTCATTGTTTCGCCATAATCGTTCCTCATTTTTTGAAATTTTAGGACCATAAAAAAACCCAGGACGATTCTCAGATTTTCGGTGTGCTCCGCCATCTGTATGAATTCGAGCTACCGACCTCGAATCTCCTAAAATTTGGTGAAACCATAAAAAATAACCTAATTAAAATTGTCATAGCTTCACCATAACAATTCCTCATTTTTGGTGTTTTTGAGCCATATAACAAGAATTCAAGACGATTCCCAAATTTTCTTATGTTATAATCCACACCATCTGCATAAATTCGAATGATCGGTACCGAATCTCCTAAAATTTTGCGGGCCCATAAAAATGATCTAATAAAAAATAGGCATCACTTCGCCATGACCGTTTCTTATTTTTGGGTATTTTTGGGCCATAAAACAGGAATCCAGGACGATTCCTAGATTTTCATGTGCTATAGCGCACGCCATTTCCATGAATTTTGGGGACTGGCCCCGAATCTCCTAAAGTTTTGCAGGCACATTAAAACGACCTAATTAACAATAGTCATTGACTCACCATGACTCTTCCTTGATTTTTGGCGCTTTAGGGCAATAAAACAGAAATTCAAGATGATTCTCAGATTTTTATGTGCTCTGTATGAATTCGGACGACCGACCCTGATTCTGCTAAAATTTTGTGGGCCCCTCAAAACAACCTAATAAACAATAGTCATCACTTCTCCATTACCGTTCCTAATTTTCTGGTGTTTTAGGGCTACAAAACAAGAATTCAGAACGATTCCCGGATTTTGTGCGCTATTGTCCACGTCATTTGCATGAATTCTTGGGACCGGCCTCGAATCTCCTAAAATTTTGCTGGCCCATCAAAAATGACCTAATGAACAATAGTCATTGCTTTGCCATGTCCGTTCCTCGTTTTTCGGCATTTTAGGGCCACGAAACTGAAATTCATTACGATTCATAGATTTTCGTTTGCAATATTCCACGCCCACTACATGAATTCGGACGACCGATCTCGAATCCCCAAAAATTTTGCGGGCCCATTAAAAATAACCTAATGAACAATACTCATCCTCTATAATCATTCCTCCTTTTTTGGCTATGAATTCGAGATCATTCCCAGATTTTCGTCTACTAGTCCACGCCATCTACATGAATTCGGACGATCGGCCCCGAATCTCCTAAAATTTTGTGGGCCTATAAAAATGACCTAATGGACAATAGTCATTGCTTTTCCATGACTGTTCCTCGTTTATTGGCGTTTTTTTTTTATCCAAAAACAAGAATTCAAGACGATTCTAACATTTTCAAGTGCTATAGTCCACGCCGTCTGGATGATTCGGGTGACCGATCCCGAATCTCTTAAAATTCTGTGGGCCCATAAAAATGACCTAATGAATCATAGTCACTGTTACTCTTTATTGGCATTTTAGGACCAAAAAATAGGAATTCAGGACGATTACCAGATTTTCGTATGCTATAGTCTACGCCATCTGCATGAATTCGGGCGTCCGAACTTGAATTTTCTAAAATGTTATGGGTTCATCAAAGATGACCTAATGAAGAATAGTCATCACTTCACCTTGATCGTTCGTCTTTTTTTTTTAGAGCCATAAAAAAGGAATTCTAGATGATTCCCTTTTCATATGCGATAGCCCACACCAACTACAAGAATTCTAGCGACCGACCCTAAATCTCCTAAAATTTTATGGGCCCATTAAAAAAATAAATGAACAATATTCATCGCTTCTTCATGATCATTCCTCATTTTTTGACATTTTAGGGACATAAAATAGGAATTAAGGATGATTTCCATATTTTCATGTGCTATCGTCCAAGCCATCTTCATGAATTCGGGCGACCATCCCCAAATCTCCTAAAATTTTGTGGGCCCATAAAAAATGACCTAATCAACAATAGTCATCGTTTTTCCATGACCGTTCCTTATTTTTGGCGTTTTAGGGCCATAAAACAAGAATTCAAGACGATTCCTACATTATCATGTGCTATAGTGCACGACATCTGCATGAATTCGGGCAACCGTCCCCGACTCTCCTAAAATTTTACAAGCCCATAAGAAGTGAGGTAATGAACAATAGTCATCGCTTCTCCATGACCGTTTCTCGTTTTTTGACAATTTATGGACATAAAAACGGAATTCATGACGATTCCCAGATGTCGTGTACTATGGTCTACGAGATATGCATGAATTCAGGTGACTGACTGTCACGACCCAAACTGAAGGTCCATGACTAGCACCCGACCACACTTGCCGAGCACCAACG